GAGTGTAAAAAAAAAAAAAAAAGCCAAGAAAGTCGTACACAAGGCTGAGCCATTGTCTCTGTCAGACGCCATCTTCTTACTTTCAGGCTGATCTGAGGGGAAAACACAAGAACAGCTCAAAAACAGTCTCAGGAGAGTCAGACGGACAGATCCAGAGCCGCAGTACCTCCGTCCTCCAGCGATCGCTTCTGTGCCGCGAAGGGAAAACTCTCCGCTCCGCCGTTATTGCTCATGGGGGGACCCGTGACGTCTCCGCCAATCTTTGCTGCAATCTGGAAAAAACAAGTTATGATAAAAAAAAAAAAGCACCACATTTATACAGCAAAATCAGCATGAAGTTAGTACACTAACCAAGAATACTATATAGTACTATTTTTAAATAGCATGGAGATACTATTAATTGCTTGTCACATTAAACATTTCCCTGTATAATTATGCATTGCAATATATACACTACTGTTCAAAAGTTTAGGGTCAGCAAGATTTTTTTCATATTTTTGAGTCTCTTCACTCACCAAGGCTGCATTTATTTGATCAAAAAAAGTTAAAATGTGATATTTTATTTACGATTTAAAATGACACTTTTTTTATGTGAACATGTTAAAATGTAATTTATTCCTGTGATCAAAGCTGAATTTTCAGCATCATTACTCCAGTCTTCAGTGTCACATGATCTTCAGAAATCATAATACGCTGATTTGCTAATTAAGAATTCTTATTACCACCATTAATGCTACACAGGACTTTTTTGTTTTTGGACAAACACTATTGTTTTCCATAGTATTCTTTGAAATACCTTAGGAAAACGATGTAAAAACATGGTAAATAAATATGGCCGAAGATCAGTGCAATGGTATATGAGAAGTACCATTGTATATCTATCCATAACCACTGCTGTGCCCTAGTAATTGCCACAATTTGAGCACGTAACTGTTTTCACCATGTTACCATGGTGCTAGCATGTTTAATACCCCAATAATACAATGGTACTAGCATTGTGCATGTTTAAATACACAGAAATATTTGTTAGGGTACCAAAGGAAAAATAAAACATGGTAAAACTCGATTTTTGGACATTTACAATGATAGCAACATGTTACTACGGTAACGTTACCTGAATGTAATCTAATTTGTTAAGTAACGACGCTAAACACCAAAGCATCGTATAATTACCATGTGCTACCATCTCCGTGCCGCATTCGTTTGTAAAGGCAAATATTTCCCAGATATCGTTAGAGTTTAAAAAAACGCTATCTCGGCTCATGCTAACAGATAAGTTAACTGTCGCGCACGCCGGCTCATGTAACGTTACCGCGGCCCTGACCGACAAACGCGGCCCGCTCGCTCCGCAGTGCGGATCACTCACCTGCCGGGCGCGCTGTACCGCGTCGGCGAACGCGTCTTTCTTGAGTCCACCGGCTCCGAGCGGCGGCACCGCGCTGTATTCAGACATGCTGTCCGTGCGGAGGGGTGAAGTGTACTGCGGGGAGGTCTAGGCCGGGCGGAGGTGCGCAGACGCGGGAAGACAAGCGAGACAAACGCATGGGCGGGACAAAAGGCCTGCGGGTCTGTAAGCGGTCTCCTATAGGCGTTCTTAATGAGTGTCTGTTGCGATGACCAATCAGAACGCAGCTAGAGGCGGGCGTACTGTGAGCATCAGACCATTGATCCAATGAGTGGTGACGAAAAGACAGAGGGCTGAACAAACGCACAGAGCTTGCCGCTGCGTCAGGGAGCCAATCAGCGCTCAGGAGCGCATAAAATAGACCAATGAGGTTCAAGAAAACGCTGATTGACAATGATGGACGTTTGTATCAGCGTATAGGCTCTTTAGGACCGTTTACCTTTGGAGGTTATATTCATTTAGACATTTAGCAGACGCTTTTATCCAAAGCCAATATATTTATTATATTCTGCTGCTCAGTCCAATATCTTGGCATTTTATGGGTACAGCAGAGAGATGAGCTGGTGTTATAATGATGATAAAGACCGTCAGTGAAGAATCTGTACCGTTTAATTTAATTTACATACATTCTTTTGCATGCATTCAGTAATACACGGAAGAACAGCAAAAATATATAATGATCAGAAATTATAATTATTTTTGTTAACATCAAAATAAGACCAATAATAATGTCTGCGTACAAAACCACTGGAAATTAGGAGCCACAAACTAAATCTGCTAAAAAAAATTAATAAATCACAATTTCCACACTAATTGTGGGGAAGTTTTGCAGAATGGATGTAAACTTGGTAAATATGTTAAACTAGCTTTTATTGGAAGCTGAAAGCATAATTATTTTAGTAAATTACTATTTGTTTTGTTAAATAGCTGTCTTTAGTTTGTCACAGCTGAATCAGGGGGAGGGGCTTTCTCATTCTAGAGAGCACTTGATTGGATACACTCCTGTGAGTGCAGGATGATGTCATCAACATTTTTGGTCTGTTTTCCCAGAAGAGAAAGACTGGAACATTTAAATATATATATCTGCTAAAAGTTTGTGTTGTGAACATTTAGTAGTGCAGTAGCATATGGATGTGCTAATGGACAACCTAAAAACAAAAATCCAATTTTGAGACTTGAGCTGCTGTAGAATTTAGTGAACAAATGATGTTTGAATTCTATGGAAACCTGTGGGAGCAGATTCCGTATTGGAATCTTTATTTTATTGTAACACATACAAACAGTCTATCTGAATTTCACCTCAGTCAGTGATAAAATACAGAGCACATTGACCTAGAAGTGACTCAATCAAAAAGTTTTTTTTTTGCTTTGTTATACGAGTCAAAAATCACAAACCAAACACTCTTTCTCCCATCCGTGAGTCCATAAGGCTTTCTGCTCCAAACCGCAGGCTACAGTACCTCATGCATTGAGGATGACAGCATATAAACTGAACTCCAAGGCTGCTTCCCAATTCAGATACCTACACTGCACACTGAAAGTACACAGTAAAAGTACTTCTGAGTTTGTAGTATGCCAGTGTTGGGTCATTAATTGTTTATCAATACCACTTGTTAGCATTAGCATCTAGCTAAAAATCACACACAGAACACTTAAAAAAATGCTGTGGCAACTTCTGCCTTGCACTCTCCGATACTTTTCTTCACCTGAAACAGTTGAAAGAAAACCGTCACAAACTTTACACTGGTTTGGGGGCAACATTAGCTGAAAAAAAAAAAAACGTGCATGGATGCATGCTTTTAAGAAAATCACTGAAATATATGCCATTTGGCATGCTAATGTGAAGGTCTTATTCATGAAACAAGCACTATTAATATATTTGTAAATACATTTTCATAAGATAATTTACACAGAAATGTGTTTCATGAGTGTGAGCCCTTGTGTTTTGACACCATTTAGGTTGCATAATTATGCAAATTGAGACGCAGTGCAGGATTTTAGAATCAGTTAAAGAATTAGTTCACCCAAAAATGAAAACGTGCTGAAAACGTCCTCACTCTCAGGTCATCCAAGACGTAGACGAGTCGGTTTCCTCATCACGACAGATTTGGAGAAATGTAGCATTGTATCACTTGCTCACCAATGGATGCTCTGCAGTGAATGGGTGCCGTCAGAATGAGAGTCCAAACAGCTGATAAAAACATCACAATAATCCACACAACTCCAGTCCATCAGTTTAATGTCTAGTGAAGCGAAAGCTGTTTGTAACAAACAAATCCATCATTAAGACATTTTAACTTTAAACTGTCACTTCTGGTCAAAATACGAGTCCATAATCCATAATAACTCTTCCTCCAGTGAAAAAGTCCATCCTCTGTTGTCCCCGCACATCAAAATCCACACACATATTTGTTCAGAGCTGTTTTGGCTTGTAAATGGTGCTTGATCTGTGCAGATTTCTCTCCTGATTCAAACCAGACCACTTTTCACTGGAGGAAGCGTTATTATGTACTTGTATTTTCGCTGTGGTTTAGCAACAGTTTAAAGGTAAAAAAAAAAAAATTGATTTGTTTTTAACAAACACACAGATTTTCACTTCACAAGTCATTAACTGATGGACTGGAGTGGTGTGGGTTATTGTGATGTTTTTATCAGCTGTTTGGACTCTCATTCTGACGGCACCCATTCACTGCAGAGCAAGTAATGTAATGCTAAATTTCTCCAAATCTGTTATAATTAACAAACAAACTCATTTACATCTTAAATGGCCTGAGGGTGATTATATTTTGAACAATTATTCTTTTTTGGGCAAGCTATTCCTTTAAACTCGAGTTGGGATGTTGATTTTGGAGCACACCACAGTAGAAGAGGCGTATTACTGGACCACAGCTGATAAAACATACAAGTTTCTCAAAACAGAGGCACTTTCAATTGTACTGTAAGTTCAAAGGGAGGAAGTTAGTTTATGGTCCATTCCCATTTGGAGTTCAGTAGTGTGCACTGGGTTAAACACACACACACACACACACACACACACACACAGAGTACAGTACAGCACATGCTCACACAGTCTCCCACATGCAAGCGTTCATTTTACCGCATCCAGTGGGCCGTACCCTGTATATCTGAATATCAGGGCCCTGTTGACCAATAACACACATGAAGAGCACATCATGAACCTCAGTAATTCAGGAAAGGGTCAGAACAGCACCTCTTAGATTCTGCATAATTCAGTGTTTGGATTCAGTTCGTCGTTCTTCCTCACATCCACTGTTTTTGGTGAACATCACTCCAGTGATCGAATATATTGTAGGCTTAAATAAAAAAGTCTTTGACCTTTCTTGTCCATCTTTCAACAAAAAAAAGGATATGATTGTATTTTTTCTACACACACATGACCTGTCTTTCTCTCTCTCTCAGGTTCCCACTCCCAGTACTTTCCTCATGTGCTCGTAGACGACGTAGGAGATGCTGACCGCCGGGATGACCTTGAGGAAGTTGGGTGCGATGCCTCGATAGAGTCCCACCACACCCTCCTGGGCCACGATGCTCCTGAAGAGGGTCAACATGGACAACTGAGGAGCTCCTTTCACTGACGCTGAGGAACCAGAAGAGGAAAAAGAATCTTAACGTTCAGAATCAATGGTATTTGAGTGTCAATACTATATGTGACCCTGGAGCACAAAAGCAGTCTTAAGTCGCTGGGGTATATTTGTAGCAATAGCCAAAAATACATTGTATGGGTCAAAATTATTGATTTTTCTTTTATGCCAAAAATCATTAGGATATTAAGTAAAGATCATGTTCCATGAAGATATTTTGTACATTTCCTACCATAAATATATCAAAACTTAATTTTTGATTAGTAATATGCATTGCTAAGAACTTCATTTGGACAACTTTAAAGATGATTTTCTCAATATTTTGATTTTTTTGCACCCTCAGATTCCAGATTTTTAAATAGTTGTATCTCGGCCAAATATGGTCCTGTCCTAACAAACCATACATCAATGGAAAGCTTATTTATTTAACTTTCAGATGATGTATAAATCTCAATTTTGAGAAATTGACCCTTATGACTGGTTTTGTTGTCCATGGTCACATATTATTATAGTTTCATTTGTGTTTTGAATTAGTTTTTTTTTTTTATTCTTATTTTAGTGATTTTAGTTATTTTGTTGTATGATTTTGTCATTTTTATTAGTTGATGCTTTTGGAAATATGTCTATTTAGTTTTTATACATTTTATTTCAATAGTACTTCTAGTTAAACTAAACGAAAATGAGAAGTTTTGCCTTAGTAACTACACTGTAAAAACTATAGGAGTATGTTTTACAAGAAAACAATATTTGATTAATTTTTCATTTATTTTCTACTTGCCATTTCTTTGTAACTGTTTGTGAAATTTAGTAGCAGTTTCTGAACCAAAATGGTTTCTTCACCAATTTTTTCATTGTAGCTGAAATAAGTTATATTTTATTTCAATTAATGTTTACTTTATTTCAAGTAACATACTTTTTTTATCATTTTAGTTTTAGTCAATAATAACGCTGTTCCGAATTCACGTTTTAATGTGAATTTTGGAATATCACTTTGAAAACACTGGATGGAAATGTATAAATGTGCATAAAAAATGCATGTGGTGCATAATTGTGTGTTTAATAAGAAGACATGCACATAAACTATGATAGAAATCCATTTACTGAATAAATTCCTCAATGCGAAACAAAAAAAATCTCATTGGTCTCACATGATTGCATTCCCAAACATCAGGCATCAGAACGCAAAATAACACAGCAGCGTTTTTTACTGCATTTTGCCTGCACACTTTGAGCCACAACTCAGTAATTACATGGGGAAAAACCCCACATTATTACAGCAACTTAAAGGCACAATATGTAATTTTTTGCCGCTAGGGGGCGCGTATTCAAAATAAACAAAGAAGCAAAGGCGTAGTCCGTGACTGAGTGTGGAATCATGGGAGTTGTGTAGTGGTTTTTGGATATTTTAATAAAAAAATCTTACATATTGTGCCGTTAATTTTTCATTAGTGATACTTTTCACCAGTTTCCTATGAACTGACAATTTGGTTGTCTTGAACATGAAGGATGGAAATGGTGCTTTATTCGCATATGTTTTCTGTGATAATCTTTTTTCCACATAAGTTAACATTTGTAGTTTGGGATGGACGCACAGCTCTCGTCTGATTCTGCGTGCGTGTCTCACCCTGCGCCTGCATGCGTGTTCGGATGAGGGCGAGCGGGTAGGACGCCAGCTGTCCACAGGTGCTGGACACCGTGCCGCAGCCCACCAGCACCAGGACGCCCGGGTGGGGCGATCCCTCCGTGTGCCGCTGCAGCCAGGCGTTCTTCAGCGTCTGAGAGAGGAAGACCGTGTGAGAGAGAGTCTTTATGAAGGAAGCATTCTCAACACACACACACACTCTCACTCTCACTCTCACACACTCTCACTCTCACACACACACACACACACACACACTCTCACTCTCACACACACACACACACCTCATAGACGGCGAGGTCTATGCCCGCATACGGGACGATGCCCAGCATGTTGGGCAGGTATCCTTTATAAAACGCCAGAATGCCCTCCTTCTGCAGGATCTGCTTAGCGCAGTCCGCCACACTCGAATACTGGCCTGTTTTACGAAGAGTAAGACGAGTCTTCAGCACCTACAGAACGAGAGAAGCAGACAGGAATGGAGTGAGGAAATCAATGCAGAGTCATGAAAACAATCACCGTTCCCACAAAAATATGAAGCAGCACAACTGTTTTCAACACTTATAACAATAATAATAATAAATGTTTCTTGAGCATCAAATCAGCATATCAGAATGATTTCTGAAGAATCATGTGACACTGAAGCCTGGAGTAATGATGCTGAAAATTCAGCTTTGCATCACAGAAATTATAAATAAATATAATTATAAATTATAGTAAATAAATTATATTTTAAAATATATTTAAATAGACACCAGTTATTTTAAATTGTAAAAATATTTCACAATTTTACTGTATTTTTGATCGAATAAAGCAAGCCGTGGTGAGCAGAAGAGACTTCTTAAAAAAACATTAAAAGATTACAGACCCCAACTTACATATCAAATTGATATTTTGAACTAATTAATATATTATATAAACAATTTTTAGATCTATTTTAATTAATAGTGATTATTTTTATTAATGTGATTATTTATTGAAGATATGTATATTTTTTTATAACATTGCTAATGCCAACATTTTAAAAAAGGCTTTATTTTACTTAAGTCTACTTCAAAGACTTCACACCCCATTAAGCACAGCCATTCACGGCTCACTGCTTTATTCTTAAATGGGCCGCTGAATGCAGAGCACTTTCTTGAACTTTACGTGAGGCCTTTGGTAATGTGAGTGGACGTGTGTGTGTGTGTGTGTGTGAGTGTGAGTGTGAGTGTGTTATGACAGCCAGGCCTCCACATACATACAGTGACCTTGACGTTCAGTGTGTGCAGGAACCAGCTGTCGTGTGTTGAATGTGTATTTACCTCCATAGGATATATGACAGTTTGAGCCGTCGCTCCAGCCAGAGATCCAGCGACGAATCTCTCCTGAACTTTCAGAGTTCCTGCCTCTTTACTGCCTCTCATCAAGCACTTAATCTGCAGACACACAGATGCAGGCTGAGCTTTGAGTTGCCGTCCACACGGCTGAGTGTAAAAGACAGAGCTGTACCTGTTCATAGGCCAGGAATTTGATGGCTGTTTCTGGAGCGATCTTCAGCACGTTGATGCCGTTCCCCCTCCACAGCGCAGTGAGGCCGCCCTCCTTCACCATCGCATGCAGACCGCGCCACACGTTCCCCTTATCAGAGCTCTGGCCGTGCACCTGAACATCAGCATGTAATTCACATGATCTTTAATGTAATGCTTCAGTTATAAAACCGAACACACCTAGACATAATAACTAAAAAAAAAAAGTTCAGTTGCAGTGTCTCATAGAGGCCTCCAGAGGTCAGTGTGGTGCTGAAAATATAGAGTGCAACAGTTGGGTTCTGAAAGTAAAAATGTCATTAATTTTCTCCATAAAGGAACTGATTTTTAATGGTAAATTATAAACCTTTAAAGACAGACCTACTGTGAGCTCCAAGGTTGTTAAATGATGGTTTATGCATTTATTGAAGCTTCAACAAAAGCAACTTATTTTTTTAAATAATCATGTTCAACAGTGGTGAAAAACTACATTACCCATAATTCTGCACAGACTGTCCACCAATCAGAGAAAGAACACTGCGCTCTAACTAAATTTTTATTTGATATTAATCAGCATCTTTAAATCGATAGTTTTATATTTCTCCTGTCATTCACAATGCTTTACAGGAATGTCGTTTTTTACTTCATTAACGCTGTTAAATACATAGTACCTTTTTCCTTTTGTCCGATATTCAAATACTTTTTGCGTCAAATCAAAGTTTGTAATAATTCACAATGTAGCTGTTTGGTTTGATTCAGGGTTATTTTAGTTTATTTATTGTTTTTAAACTTTAATAAACTAGTTAACTAGTCAAATAAATCTAAAACCATTAAATGTTTTGTTATGTTAAGTGAAATAAAATAAACATTAACTAAAAAAAATAAAAATAATTTAAACTTATTTTATTTCGGCTAGTTGCCAAAGCAGCAGTTCTCATTTTATTTTATTTTAGTGTAACTTGATACACTAAAAAACTAAAACTGAAATAATAATTTATAAAAACCATAACAAAATAAAATAAAAAAATAAAAACTAATTCAAAATAGGAATAAAATGTAAATAATAAAAAAATTTATATATATAAATATAAAAAATAAAAAGATTATATATTATAAAATATATTATCATGGATATTTGTAAATAGTTAGATGCCTTTCATCTTATAGTACCTAACAGTGCAATAATTCCTATTATCCTTGTACACACAAGCCACAGCTTTTTCTAGATTGCATTGAGAGCTACTTTGAAAGTATCAAACCTCAACAGGAACCTCTAAACGGGAAACTGGCATTAAATGAGCATCAAAGATCAGATGCTTCCGCTGTTTGGAGACCAAAAGTGACTGCTTTCAGACCAGTGCAGTCTCACCTGCAGAAAGACCTTGAGTCTGTCGAGCGGCGCGGTTCCTGTCCTGGACACCGATCCCGCCACGGCTCCTGCCATCAGCTGCCGCCACACGAACCCTGACTGCTTCTCCTTCTCTGAGAACTCGTCTGGGACCGTCAGAAGCTCCCCGATGTCCAACATCTACACAAACACACAATAACAGACTTACAGAAAGAAAGAGGCTCATTCTATAGTCATACAAAACTCTTTTGCTTCGTACCACCGAGTGTTTCCAGTACTGAGCGATTTCCTCCATGTTGTGCAGAGGGTTAAACAGGAAGTGATCTCGCCACTCGAACCAGTCGATGGTCATGGAATGGTCTTTATCCATACTGTATCAACACATTTCACAAGTACTGCGTGTCACAACTGAATCACACCTGAAAAGCACTTTGCACATATGTGACCCTGGAGCACAAAAGCAGTCTTAAGTCGCTGGGATATATTTGCAGCAATAGCCAAAAATACATTGTATGGGTCAAAATTATAGATTTTTCTTTTATGCCAAAAATCATTAGGATATTAAGTAAAGATCATGTTCCATGAAATATTTTGTAAATTTCCTACCAAAAATATATCAAAACTTAATTTTTGATTAGTAATATGCATTGCTAAGAACTTCATTCGGACAACTTTAAAGATGATTTTCTCAATATTTAGATTTTTTTGAACCCTCAGATTCCAGATTTTCAAATAGTTGTATCTCGACCAAATATTGTCCTATCCTAACAAACCATACACCAATGGAAAGCTTATTTATTCAGATTTCAGATGATGTATAAATCCCAATTTCGAAAAATTTACCCTTATGACTGGTTTTGTGGTCCAGGGTCACATATGCTAAGCACACACACACACACACACACACACAAACACACACACACACACACACACACACACACACACAAACACACACACACACCTTTGCAGTATTTTGGCAGCCTGTTCCAACGTGACGTCCACGCCGAGATTGTGTAACGACTGCTGGATCTCCCCGACGTCCAACTGACCTACAAAACATACAAACAATGCGCTATTGTACTGAAATGTAAGGATAAACTAACAATATTGTGAGATAATAGAATTAATGGAATAGATGCTAATGCTAATGTGAGGGTATATATGCTAATTAAAGTGCTAACAGCAATATAATACCTACTGATGCTAAAATGATGTTGTAGATGTTGTGTTTAGGCGCTAATGCTAAAATGAGGGCACAGATGCTAACAACAATACAACAGCTGCTAATGATGCTGTGAGGTTATAGATGATAACAGTGATGTAAAATCACAAATGCTAATGCTAATATGAAGCTATGTATGCTAACAGTGATGTAATAGCATACCTGCTAATGGTACTGTGATTGTACAGATGCTAACAGTGATGTAAAACTCCACATGCTAATGCTAATATGAGGTTATAGATGTTATGTAATGATATAGATTTTAGGGTTATTGTGAGGTTACAGATGGCAAATATATATTTCTAACCTAAAGTTAAAGTAAAACGAGAATATAAAAATTATGTTGTATATTCTAACAGTGAATTAAGACCAGTGTTGTTTTTGTTAACTAAATCGAAAACTATTAAAAATCATTGTAGTTAACTGAAATGAAGCCTAAAGTAAAATTATAACGTAAACTGAAAATATATAAAAAAATAATAATTAAAAGCTACTTTGAAATATGAATACATACTCCCTGTTGAAAAAAAATACATACTCCCTGTTGAAAAAACCCAAAGGACCAGCATAAACCAGCATTCCAGCGTCAAAACATACCTAACCAGCATATGCTGTTTTTTTCAACAGGGCTGTAATAGAATATACAGTAAAATAACACTGATTCTGATGATACAGTGAAGTTGATAGAAACTAACCGTCATTGTTGCGGTCCAAGCTACGAAACATGAGTTTAAGGCGTTTCTCATGTGAACGCAGATACTCGGTGAACTCTTCAAAATCCAGCTGACCATCGTGATTAACATCTCCAGCTCGTACAATCTGCTGAATATAGGGCATTTACAGAGAGATAGAGAGGGGTGGGAGAGAAATGAAGGGAAAGAGGGGTGCCGGGAATCATTAGGAAAGGTGGGATGGGGTGCAAATGAAGGAGAAAAGCACATTAAAACCATGCAAAAGCCACCAGCCCAAAGCACCAACATCACACATGAGCAGTCAGACATTATCACTGAATCAAACACAGGTTAATTTCATTCTAATTAAATGCATTGATAAAATGAAGGTAAATTAACAAACGAAAGCAGCAGAGAAAGCCAAGTGCACAAAACAGTAGCTTTACAATGTGTTTAATTCATTTATATACACTTAATGACTATATAAGTTAGGGCTGGACGATATGGCCAAAATTTATATCACGATATATTTCTTAATTTCGGTCGATACGATATAATTCCTGGAGTAGGCCTAATGATGCTGAAAATTTAGCTTTGATCACATGAATAAATTACATTTTAAAATATATTCAAATAGAAAGCAGTTATTTTAAATAGTAAAAATATTTCAAAATGTTACTGCTTTTGGTGCATTTTGGATCAAATAAATGCAGGCTTGGTGAGCAGAAGATAATTCTTTAAGAAACATTAAAAATCTTGCAGTTCAAAAACCTTTGACTGGTAGTGTAGGCTGATTATTCTTATAGATTGAAACGTGCATTAACCAGGATAACGAGTATGAAACATGCTCCGAGTTGCTTCAGAAAACAAAAAAATAGAGCAACAACAAAAGCATGTTGCTGGAAATGGGTTTATTATTGAAAGTGCAAACTGATTGTGTGCCAGCAGGAGGCGCTGTGAGAGCGGTGGAACTAACGGTTTCTCCAGTAATGGCTGTAAACAAAGCAGCTCGGCTCATGAACGCTACTTTATCAGATAAAAATGCCATCTAAACTATTCTGAAGACAGTCGGTTCCCTTCAGAGATACATTCATATAAAACACCCGCGACGCGTTTTGATTTTGAAACGTGCAGTGCTCATGTTTATTCAACGAAGTCAAACGCCACAAATAAATCAATGTATGGGAAACACTGGTAAAGTATATCGAAATATCGGAAATGTGTTTAAAAATCATATCACCGTTATTGAAAAAAATTATATCGCGATACATATTGATATTGAATTATTGTCCAGCCCTAATATAAGTGTTTAAATCCACATAATCGCTAGATAAACCGGCTAAACAATTGATGTTTAAATCTCTCTGATGCGACTCTATCCAGAATTCCTGTACTTTGAGAGAGCTGTGCAATTAAACATGCATCTGGGTATAAAAACTGTGTCCAGATTTACAAGATTAATCACGTGCAAGTATCACCACATGCTTTTTTTTTTTTCAGGGTGTCGCCCCACGATTCTCAGTGCAGCATGTCTGAACGTGTTTGTACCGAGCTGCGCACACATAAGGATTAGAGGCATTTCGCTGCAGGTCTCAGGGTTTTACAGTCAGCTAAATTGTACATTCTGGTGTTTTATGGTGAGGAAATTATGAAAAAAAAAAAACTGATCCACAGTGACTAAAATAATAAATATCATCAGAGTAAACCGTTAAATTCAGAACATTTTTCTATTTAATCACGACACACATGCTACTGTCACTTTAATTCCACACAAAGTGCTGCACTGAGAAACTCATTCAAACCAGACCATCATTCCCACAATCCTTTGAGTGCTATAGGGCAAATCACGCTGTAGCTATGCCAGTAATTTCACTAATTTAACTAGCTTGTCCTCCTCTGTGGGCAGACGTCTACAAAACACCCATGTGTGTTGCTATGTTTATTAATGTGAGCCAGCAGTCACATGACATTTACTCTCACATGGATCGACTCCAAGACACTGACCTTTTGCACAGTCTGCAGCCTACATGTGTTTCTGTGAGCCTATGTGTGAAGTTTAGTACTTTCTTGCCAATATCATTCATCATAATGCATAATGCAAATACATAAACACATGCACACATGATTTCAAACCTCAAAAAACACAGCACACTACAAAATCAACAAGTTTCAAAAATCAATATGACTCAAGATTGTCCCAGGCAAGCAGATGAATAGTCTAGTCACGTGCTAAACTATAAACTATGTATTCAGTATGTTGGTATATAAACAGCACTGTTGAGGGTAATGCATTACAAGTAACCTAATCAGATTACCTTTTCAAGTAACTAATAAAGTAGTGCATTATCTATATCTGAGTTACTTTTCAAATAAGTAATGCAAGCTACTTTGTTTTCCCATTTATTCACTGACACATGTGTTGAGAGAAATCGTGAGTGAGGTGCAGAGACAGAGGCACTTCTTTCAGCCCGAGGCTTGTTAATTTCACTTTTGGTGTGAAAGGGACTTTACAGTTGCTAAATATATAACCTTTGGGTTTTTTGTTATTAAAAATAAATATGCATGCCCAGCCCAGGCGACAAAAAGTAACGCAAAAGTAATTTAATGCATTGCTTTCCATAAAAAGTAACATTAGTTACGCATAGAGTAACGCAACATTGTAATGCATTACACTTAAAAGTAACTTCCCCAATGCTGATAAACAGCTTGCAGCATGCCGTGGAGAGATTAGATAACAAAGATTCATTTAATATCTTTGTGTGTCTGTTTGATCATAACTTGGACCGGTTTCTCATTGTTTCCTAGGCCTTGGGTTTGATCTGCTGGCATTACATCACTGTAACGTCTCTAGCGAGCAATTTATCGATTAGAAAAGTAGAATTTGGTGTAAGTTGTTTGTTCAAATCACTAGACCAAAGTATGCACAAAAAATAGTGATGCTTGACTTAGCAAACACACTAGTCTGCAGGAAACCTTTATTTCAGGTGGCAGATGGAGACCCGGTGATGTTGATTCAGTGCCAGCGGGTGATGATGCCCTTCCTCTGTTCCTGCCATTGACCTTGAGATTATTAACTATTAAGCTCATAAACTGCTTCATTAGTGCTGCAACAGTACTCTAATCCACCCTGTTCCTGACCACGACATGGAGGCCTTCGAAACTAGAATCCTGCTGTGTAGTCGTACTTTTATCATATGAAGCATTATGAGTGTGCTAGCGAGTAAGCAGCTACATAATGCGTTATACTTTCACTAATGGACTAACATCTGTCTAATCTGAGCTGAACATCAGGCTCCATCCCAACCAGCAACAAATGACTTTTTGTGGGTCACTTGCCTGCTTTCTATTTCTGGAGCACTGTGTGTGCAGTCTATCCACAGTGAAATCTCAGCGGTCTGCAATCCTGTTTACATAATCATATATTAAATATTTTGGTTTCTACAGGTTCATCCCATTTTTGTGTACTTCTGCACTATTCTACGCCATTTTTGTAGTGTAATTTTGTGTTACACATCAAGTGCACTGGAAATGTAATATCCTTTAATTAAAATCTATATGAATTGTTTCATTTAAGATGACACTAATGTATACACTATGTACTTAGCGTAGTCTATCCACCTTATTTTTTACGTACAAACTTAAATGTGCGAGGCTTTCGGTGTAAGTCGCTTCCAGTAATTTTATCTGCACAAAAACACTCCGTTATGCTGTATTTGCTATCACATTAGTTTAATTTTTTACCATAACTGGGTTGTTGCGCAAATACCTCTTACTGCACTGTGGCGTTCTTGTGGTTGGCTAATGAACCGGAAGTCTCGCACATTCACAGGAAATAGCTTCATTCAGCGTTGAACAGTAGTGTAAGTACACTATGTACAGTACATGATTTGCGCTGGGTAACCACGCCCACTGCGAAATCTCATTGGTCAGAATCGCACTCTGCATTACAAAATATTAAGCATTAGATACAATCTGATTGGCTGCGACTGTATCGCGTACTGCAGCATTGTCGCTTTCAGTGTTGAGATGATCACGTGACTTGTAGCTGAAGGTTATTATCTCCACATCTGATATTAAATCATAAACCTGTGAATTCACGGACAGTTATCCTGTACTATAAATAACCTTCCGTTATGACTGCGTGTATTGGGTTTCTTCCGTACCTCCTCCACCGAGCTCCACGACAGCCCCCGGGCGGCGAGTCCGATCCGCAGCTCGTTGACATCGATCAGTCCGTTCTTGTTCAGATCCAGCTGCTCGAAGAGCTCGGCCCAGAGCCGCTCGCGTTCGGGATCGACCCCGCTGTCCTGACATCGCGCCCGAGTCCAGCCCGAGCGGCATGCGCTCTGCCACATGATAATATCCACGCACGGTCACCCACGGAGACACATCGGCTCGATGAAAGCCCGCACGGGCGGAAGACGCGTTCTGCGTGCGTCCAAAAAAGGAGCTGTTAGCGAAACAAACCCCCTCGCGTCGCGTCCCGACAGCTCGCGTTTCGCAGATGGTGTCAAACAGCGGTTTCACACGAGAACCAGGAAGCTTTCGCAAACACTGACTTCCAAGGTACTTCCAAGAACCCCGTGCGCTAGCGGTTTCTTATCCTCAAGCATTGCGACATTTCAAGACGAGCTGAAAACGCCATGCGTCAAAACATGATGAACACGCGCGAAACGCGGGTCGAGGACTGCAATGACTTGCAATGTATGCGATACAACAGCGGCTTCAGATTACACCCTCAGGAGGAGCTTCCTTGGGTGATCTACACTGATATGAGCCAAAATATCTCGGTCCTGAAGAATTAACAGAGAACCCGTTCAATCAGGACTGATTAATTAAATGCAGCAACTTCTCCAATGACTCTGCAGATAAATGACATACAGTACAGTTTGAGTTAAACATCTTCTGTCATACAGAACAGAACATGATCTTTTCTTCACAAGGCTGATTGGTTATTTTCATTCAGGCTGGCTTATGAAGTCACTTCCTGAGGGTTCATAACGAATTCATAAGGTTTAAGAGGAGAAAGTGGGTTTGCATGGCATTTTTCAGTATATCTGCTGACTCTTATCAGACACATGGAAGGATCAGAAGTGTGAGCAGGAGAATATATGGTAGAAGTGCTGGCTTTCACATCGAAGACAAATCCCAAGCTGGTTTTTCTTGGTTACTTGAATCTGGTCGTTTATGGTCATTAGTTGGTTCAAGCTGGTCTAGATCAGCTAAACCGCTAGCCAGTTTTTGATCTGCTAGAGGTAGACCATCTTGCTCATTTTGGTTAGACCTAGTAGACCTTCAAAAAACAGCTACAATGTTGCAAAAACCAGTCTGACCACCTCAAAGGCTCACCCAAAAATTCTGTCAATACTTACTAACCCTCATGTCGTTCTGAATGCATTTGACTTTCTTTTCTCCATGCAACACAAAATCAGATGTTTGGATGAATGTCCATGCTGTATTGTTCCATTTAATAAACGAATGGGGACGGATGCTATCAAGATCCCCCCCAAAAAAGTCATTTGATAGAGAGGAACAGACCCAAATTTAAGTTGTTTTCCTGATCTCATCTGCTTTCTCATATTGAAATATTTATGCATGAAGATATTTGGGCTTTTCTGTCATTTCTGCACTTTAAAAAAAATTCTGTAAAATTTACGGTAAAAAAACGGCAGCTGTGGTTGCCGGAATTTTACCGTAAAAAATATGGTAGCAACTTTTAGGTTTTACGGTTCTAACTTAAATGTACAGTTAAATACCGTAATTTCATTTACTGGTATAATGTTAATATACCAACCTACTGAAGTACTGAAATCTACCTTTGTAATACACTGATAACCACCAAATGCAGGTGGTGATGAGAAAGTCACATGATGAACCAAAGCCCATCACAAGCAGCTTTTAAATAATAACATATATAGAAGGTGCAGTGTCAAACACTAAACACCATCATGGTAACACACATGAAACTGAAATAATGCAATAAACATTCATTTAACAACATTAGGTGTAATTTCAAAAAACAAAAAACATCAAATTTGAAATGTAACGCAGGGAATTCTGGGAATGTCAATTTACGGTTATTCACTTCCAAAAACGGTACACTACTGTAAAATTAATGTCCAATACATGTAATGTCCAATAAAGTTTTTCACCATATATAGTAGGGGAATTTACCGTTAACCATTTAACAGGTTTTTACTGTAGCATTTTTACAGTCTTTTACCGTTAAATTCACGGTCATTTTTTACAGTGTGGAGCCCGACAGTGTCCGTTTCCTATTTTGTTCAGTTTTCCAACTGGTTATGAAACAGAAATTCATGCTAGTTTCCCACAGTAATGTTCACTTTAAATGCATTCTCTATCACTACGATCATCAATAATAGCTCCACAAATGACAGTGTCTGGAAACGAGCTATTCTGTGAATTGATATACAGAACATGCTAAGATCAGCACACAGATAACCTACTGCACACCTGTTGCCTTCACTGTTCCCGACACAAATACAGGTGATGCACACACAGATACACGCTTTCTGATGAAAACCGCTGTCAGCTGCTGTCCACACCAACTGTACAAACGTCAATACAGCCCATAATCATGATTAGAGCTTGTGATATGAACAGTCATTGTGTTGTGTTCTCACCCAACAGCTGTCCGTGTTGTTTCATGATCTCAGGATCAGATTAATGTCACTATATAACAGCAGGACAAAGAGACAGAGAGAGTCAAGCAGAGCTGGAGACATTTGATCGCTTCTGTGAGGTTCATTCAGACGTTGTGTGATGTGTAAGGGGCTGTCTGCCATCCCCTCCTCATGCCTGGAGAAGTGAGTATCAGCGCTTTTGGGAAGACAGATACTGGGAGCACTAAACTGTGTATGGATGTGAAACTGTGTTGATGTTTCAGGGCGAAGTGCATGAGGGTCAAACTGTCCCACCTGGCCGAAAAGCAGGATTGGGTTTACAAACACAGGTAACACAAGTGCACTGCTCTCATTTACACTCGTTTTCTGGGTTCAGTACAAATTAAGCTTGATCTGAAGAATTTGTGGCATAAAGTTGATTACCACAACAAATATTTTCCACTTTCCCTCATTTAAAAAAAGAAATTTAAAAAAGAACAATTATCAAAGAACGATAACTAGATTCGCACACCATAAAGTCGAGTGGATTCTTATTGGTTGCCTATGTTTTTAACGTTCATCAAAAACGTTTTGAAAGTGATTACAACGATATCGTTATAGTTATGGTGTTGACTTTACTATTCTCAGAGAACGATCATTAAAACTTTATGGTGTGTCTTTACCTTGAGACATTTACCTTCAAAGTGAATGGGACCAATTTGTAAACATTAAAGGGGGCAAAACACACACACACACACACACACACACAGTTTCTGCAAATCTTATGTTAAACTTGAGTACCTATAGAGTAGTACTGCATCCTTCATTTCTCCGAAGAGTCTTTAGTTTTATTAGATTTATAAAAGAAAGATACAGCTTTACGATTCCTATGTTTTTAACGTTCATCAAAAACGTTTTGAAAGTGATTACAACGATATCGTTATAGTTATGGTGTTGACTTTACTATTCTCAGAGAACGATCATTAAAACTTTATGGTGTGTCTTTACCTTGAGACATTTACCTTCAAAGTGAATGGGACCAATTTGTAAACATTAAAGGGGGCAAAACACACACACACACACACACACAGTTTCTGCAAATCTTATGTTAAACTTGAGTACCTATAGAGTAGTACTGCATCCTTCATTTCTCCGAAGAGTCTTTAGTTTTATTAGATTTATAAAAGAAAGATACAGCTTTACGATTCTCTCCGAAAACAGCCGAGCTCCTGTAGGCGTGCCGTGGGCTGAGCTAAAGAGTCAAGAGCACTTACGATTTGACACAGTTTTATTTTTACCGCCTGCGGTTCCGACTCATGACCGGGATCTTTTATCGCTGGGACCGCTCCATCTTTCAGTATCAAACGATCTGTAAATCCAGCGTTGAACTGGGCCTTGTTTATAAAACATTCGTCACCGAAATGACGGGAAATAACAAAAACACACTTCTTTGTGTGCGTGCTCTTCTGGGAGACGTGCCCATATAAGGAATTCCGTCCTTTATGACGTCATACAGGGCCATACTCGGGGAAAAAAATAAACTTCTGAAACTTTGAGTTTATTTGGCACAGAAATACTCCCTCGTACATCCAACTCGTTTTTTGAGACTTTGGCCATGTTTAGCGTGAGAATCCAAGTCACTTTAACAGTGTAAATAACTCAGAATGCATAGCATTAGACCACCCCTTTAAAATATTATTTTCGATAACTAAGCAACAAAATGTAAACAATATGTGTGTTAATGTTATTTTGGTGTAAAAAAAATTTTTAAATCACACACTAGCCTTTTTCGTATAGTTCTATCCAGTTTTAAAGCTTTGTTGCCATGACAACGCAATGCCGTAAACCCTAAAACGACCGTTAAGCCTAGCGAGAACTTTACAGCTCAAATAATACACAAGTAAACTGTTAATGTTTTTATAAAAAATAAATTAAAATATGCTTCATATTTCTGCTTTTAAATCAATTTGCATTGTAAGTGCCTCCATAACCTAGAATAGAGGAGCGTCCGAGTTATTTTTGTGGTAATCAATATTATGGCACAAATGCTATCGATTGAGTTGAACTTGTACAGAACCCTACGTATTTAAGACATAAAAGTTGAACAAAGCAATAAAAAGCATCTATTATTTTTGTCTCCAGAGCTAGTGAGGAAAAGCTGCCACAGGACTTGGAGTCTCTGCTCAACAGCAAGCGTGAGAGGACCTGCTTTCCTAATGATTTGACTTCACGACTTCACTTCTCTTTTCTTCACTGAATCTCGGCGTTCTCTCCGCAGCGGGCGTTCAGGCGTTCCGCTGGTTCCTGCGCTCGGAGTTCAGCGAGGAGAACCTGGAGTTCTGGCTGGCGTGTGAAGAGTACAAGAGCGCATCCGGGTCCAGACTGGCGGCGAGAGCCCAGAACATCTACAAGCAGTTCATCAACCCTGATGCTCCTCGTGAGGTGAGAGACGAACGCAGGCCGTCTAGACCAGCGCGAATTTAACTCAAAAATCAAGGAGAAAAAATGAAAAAAAGATAATTTAATTACATTTAAACACACTTTGTCCAAAGTCATCATTAGCAGCAATAAAAAGAATAAAATAAATAATAAAAAAAAAATATATATATATATATTTTTTTTATGTAATATACTTAAATTTAAATGTACTTAATTATAAACAAATTAATATTTTTTAAATGTATTAATTTACATTTAAATACATTTACATAATATACTTATTTATAATTATTTAAATTGAAGTATATAGAATGCACTGTATTATTCTAAAAAATTACTAAAATATAATACAAATAAATAAATGTATTTTATGTAAATTTGTAAAATGATGCATTTATAAATTACTTTTTTTCCTTCAAATATATCAATTTTTATATTACAAGAATGAGAATTTGGAGAGAAATGTGCTTAATTGTCAGCAATACAAAAAAAAAAAAAAGATGTATATATTTTTATGTAATAATATAATTAAATGAATTTAAATTTACTTAAGTATAAAGAAATTCATATTTGTTTTCATGTATTTATATTAAATTACATTTACATATACTTATTTTAATTGAAGTATATAGAATGCACTGTATTATTCTAAAAAATTACTAAAATATAAAACAAATAAATAAATATATTTTATGTAAATATGTAAAATGATGTATTTATAAATTACATTTTATTCTATTACAAGAATGAGAATTTGGAGAGAAGTGTGCTTAATTGTCATAAAAAGCAATGTTATAATGCAAAAAAAAAAACTTAAAGGGCCTAAAATAGGCTTCATTTTCTAAAGTGTGAAGTCTTATTTCTTTCTCCCGATTTGAAAGTAAAATATGACCCAGACATGTTCTTGACAGTTTTCACTCTCATATACGAGCTCATATGATGTGTTTCTCAGGTGAATCTGGACGGTGAGACGCGTGAGGCGTTGACGGGGCTGATGGAGGATCCCACAGCGCAAACGTTCGATGAGGCTCAGCAACGGATCTTCTCTCTGATGGCTAAAGACTCATTCCCACGTTTCCTGCGCTCGTCTTTCAGTCAGCAGCCTCTTAAAGTCTTGTGAAGCACACTGTGCTGTTAAACCCAGTGTATCTGAGGTCTAGACTAGATCCATTAGTTACCCTGCTATCTGTAGAGATGCATGAGCCACAGTCAGGTAGGACATAGATTCTATAGCCATTTTGAAACATCTGTAATTGCTCACTGTGCCTTTATATCTTTAAACCGGATGATTTAATAAAGTTACTTGGGTCAAAATGGGAGTGTTTTGCTGTCAATCAATCACACACTGAGAGCCAATCAGAGATCTGGAAGCTCAAGGTCGCCAGACAATCGAAGCTGAACAAAGAAAATGAAGCAGGCGGAGAATCACAGCGCTCAGCCAATCACAGAACAAGCAGCATGTCCTTGACGGCAGGAAAACCTTCAGGGATTTTACCCTCACAGTCTAATAAAGTGAGTGCGGCTGCTTAACAGTGGAAAAAGTTGCTCTGGTTTACAAGATAAACCCAAAAAGGGGGGAAAGGGGCTATAAAACCAGAATACGATCATGAAATTAACTAGATTTAAAATATTAGCAATGCTTGCCCATGACAAAAATCGCTGTCACCAGGCATTATAATCACCATTTATTATATAAAAATAAGCACAGTCTAAAATATCATGGCCTGTTGCACACATGTAAGATTTGTCATATGTAATTTCCACACCGTGTTTCTTTTCTCCAAGAAAAAACCTTAAGAAGAATAAACTTCACTGTCAGTCCAGAGAGAGTGGTAAGCATTAGATTTTATATGATGGCGCCATCTAGCGGCTGTACAGCATACTACATTATTTGCCTGTCATCAGTTGGATTTGGAGGATCCGGCAGCTGGGTTTGAGGGTCCAGATGTCCCGCTTTTCCCCGCTGGAGTCTTCAGCACGCTCAGTTTCTTATGAAGGGACGTGCTGGCCTTCTGTGTGACTTCCTGCTCAATCCTGTTCCTGATGGCCACCTCCAAACCCTGCACCACAAATACAAACACACAAATTAAACCACTATTATTTAACACGGAATGCTTTTAAATGAGGACTGAACGTTTACCTTCTTCAGCTTCTGCTGTTGGACCACTTGAGCTTTTTTGGGTGCGATGATCCTTCCTGAAATATAGGATTTGAAGAAACTCATTTTACACCGATTAAACTGAAGTGCGCATGCGCGTCTGTATAGCCGCAAACACGCTCACTCGGCACGCTGCTAAGAATAAATCTCTAATTAGCGTAGTTTTACGTTCAGAGTACCCCTCTCTTCAAGAACACAATGTTTTTACCTCCTTTCTTGAGTCCTTTCGGTTTGTGTTGTTGCTTTTTAGCTCCTCCGGGTCGCTGCGCTTTGAATTTCTGTTTACCTTGAGGCATTTCTACGATCTGATCGCAGCCGGAAACAGAAAGACGTAACACACGAAATAGAATAAAAGTCTCTAAAACGCTTAGGATGAAATTTAAAATAAAAGTCTCTTCTAAATGCCAAACAGAGTGTGTGTGTGTGTGTGTGTGTGTGTGACGTAAATTATAAATAAAACACTATTTAATTAATATTAATAAAATAATGCAAATATACATTTGCATACTTAATTGAGAAACATTGCAAACTAATTTTAAGACTAACATGATTTATGAACCAAATGTTATTTAGGACTAGTTAGGCAGCTAGATTTGGAGAAACAGCCTACAAGTAATACACAAAATAAACAACAGCATTTGTGTTCACTGTGGCTTTATTAATAATAAAAAGTGCCACATTTTAAAAAGTCAAGCATGCCACAAGAGTTCTCCATCAGTATATTTCTTTGCCGAAACGAGGGCCCTCGACACACACACACGCACGCACTCACGCACTCACTCACTCACTCACACACAGACACTCACACAGACACTCACACACACAGACACACACACACACACACAGACACACACACAGATACACACAGACACACTCTCTCACACACAGACACACACACACACACTCTCTCACACACACAGACACACACAGACACACAGAGAGTTAGAAGTTTCTGATACCAAATAAAAGGTTAGGCACTTTTGAACCGGACAGAACGAGTGTTAAATAAAGTGACAGATGGATCCTCCTGAACCCACCATCAATGACAAGAGCTCACAGCAAAACAATACGGGATATAAAAACACACTTTCCATTCTCAACAACCAATCACAGGCCTCGATTTATTCAAATTAGCACTGGAGAAGAGGCAGGGTTACAGTAACACTGTGGATTCTGGAGAAATCAAGTTAATGCTCTAGTTTGCACATACAAGTTGTTATAATGACAAATCTTCACGAAGAATTCTTGCATTTTAAGACTTGGCTGCATCTTTGCAAGAACACAATGTTTCTCTTCTTCATTTCTCTGATTTTAGACTTCATTTTAAATTACTTTTCATAATTCAGTATAATAGGGTTCTGGAAGTCAGTGTAACCAATAACTTCAATAGTTTTAGTATCTAAACCTGATTATTGTAAAAGGCTTTATCTGATTTTGTTGAGTTTGAAGACGAGTACAAAAGATCTTCTCCATGTAGACCATATAAAGTAGACTTCATTTAAACAGTCAGATTCTCCCGATAAACATGAACTACAATCCTTGACCTTTAACCCTTTAGGTTTTAATACTTCAACTCAGCGACCCTGAGAACATGAAAACCAAGAGCAGCATTTAAATCATATTTATATTGGTGGAAAACAGAAAAAAAGTCAGCAAAATGTGTTTAAAACCTTTTAGTTTTAGTTCTTCAACCAGCCGTTATCACCTGAAAGCTTTGTGTGAAAAAAAGAAAAAACAAAAACATGATTGATCAATCCACAACAAAACTGATTAAAATAAATAACCATTCCTTGATTCCTCTGACTGTGATTAAATAATTCAGCAATAATAATAATAATAATAATAATAATCAGACAGAACTGCACACAAATGGAAAGATGCACTGTAGTGGCGGTAATGGAGGAGGCACTGAAGACGCGTCTCCGCTTTACAACAACAAAAAACATATTCCCCACAAATCCCAGCGGCGACTGATCAACCACTCAAGCTTGTCCTGATTTGGTCTCCACAGTAAATCTGTCGGTACCTCCCGGGACCGTCCTGTTAGCACACAGGCCCTGAAGAGTGCGTCTGTCACTGAGGTGCTGCTGGATCACTCCAGTGTCACGAGGTATTAAAACACACAAGAACTCGAGTCCTGAGTCTCTTCATCCACTGACCTCAGAGCTGGTCACCGTGACGAAGAGGCCTGATTGGCCGGGACGAGCTGTCCGTCATCACCTCTTCTGCTCCCAGGTCTCCGGCATGTTTAGGTCCAGATGCTCCAGAGAGCGCAGAGCCTGCACGTTCTCTGAGTAAAACGCCACGTCCACCATCACCAACCTGCAGAGAGACAAAGATGACGAGCAAATGTCATAAAGAACAAGTCACACCCCATTTATAATAGAAAAAACATTTCTATATAATAATAGACTGATAGAAAATGATAGTAAAAAATATACTAATTTTTAATATATATTCATTATATGTAAAATCAATATTAAAGACATTTTATTTATGTATAGTATATATTTATAAAGTAGATAAAATAAATTAAAACTACTAAAATAATAGTAGAAAAAATGTAATAATAATATTACAAATAATATATATTATAAATCATATATATGTATATATACATATATACATATTATTTAGATTTTACATTTTATATATTAAAATGTATTCAATATTTATTGTGCCGCTTTATATTTTTGTTTTTTTTTGTAATTCTCATAATCACTGGTGTTTCTCATTGCTGTAATACAGAAAACCGAACGCTCACCCATACTGAGGTCCGCCATCATTGACGACTCCCAGCCGCGCTAACTGTCTCTTCAGATGCAGCTTAAAGCTGGCGTTTATCCTGAGGAACAACATCTACACACAAACACACAATAAACACCATGAGTTTATAGTCTCGGTTCACGCTGACGGCTCCAGCATCACATGCGGCGTCTCACCTGCGTCTGCTCCTCCGGTAACAACTCATAAATGGCCTCGTGCATTTTGGCCATCTGTTTACACACGTTACGCAAACACGCAGACGGCATCGGCGCCTTCACCTCATACTGCAGAGAACACACACGGTTCAGCTGTGATAACCCACAGTAATACTACAGAGATCACAGAGATCCAAACCCACCTTAGACAGAGCCTTCTCAAACATACTGTCCATGATGGCCACAAGTTTGGCAGAGATCTCTGCGATGTGATCGTTATAGTCCTGAAGAGAGAGGAAGAACAGAGTGTTAGCAGTGTAAAACGGCTGTCACTGTGTGGTTTGTGGATGTGAGGATGTTTACCTTGGTGATGTGGTCGAAGTGTCTCAGTATGCTGTACTGTCTGGGCTGCAGTCTGGTCTCAAAGTGTGCTCTGATCACAGGGATGTAGTGAAGCACCAGCTGAAGACAGCGAGACGCCAGAGCTGAGGACACACACACACAAACAAACAAACACACACACACACACACACACACACTTTTGAGACTGTCACACATTCAACTGTAAAACAATAACTGCAAGTTTAAAATATTAAAGACATGTTATATTCAATATGTACTGAAATTGGTTTATGAACTGATATATCAGTATATATGAATTAGAGGTCAATGGATATTGGATTTTGCATCTGTTTACTGAATGTTAAATAATGTCTTTGCTTTACATTGAACTATGTTGAATTAAATGCCAGATAGAGTTTATTGTGCAACCAAAATAAGATTTTATACACAATGCAGGACTTTTAATTAGAAACAAGCCTGAAATGCACTAGGACTCTTATTTTGAAATGTATATGTTTTACTATTTGCTCATGTAAAAAGATGAGAGAGATTAAATATGCTCTCATACAACAATCTACAACAGATTACAATATAAATGCCATAATTCTTCAACAGTGGATCATAAGCGATTTTTTGGCATAAATGTGCCCAAATGTAAGACCTCTTACAATGATAATTAAGACTTTTGTTATACCATTTAAGACCTTGAATTTGATCAAATTAAGATTTCTTTAAGGACCCACAGTAACCCTGTGATAGGCATTAGCCAAATCAAGTTTTGCTTTCAGATTTAGGGTTGTGCTTTAAATTAAAATACCATCACTGCATCTACGAGACGCATCACGTGTGTTTTCTTACCCAGGTTTCTGGTGGTGATGGTTTTCAGGCCGACCACCTGCAGAGCTCCCGCCCCCAGCACCAGCTGACAGCTGCGAGAATTGAAGTGCTGTTCTCATGGAAACAAAGCACAACCTGTCAGTCAAGTGATGTCACAGTGCAGTGTGCAGCTGAACAAACTGAACATCTCTCTAACACACACACACACACACACACACACATATACACATACACACATACACACATACACACCTTGAGCAGGTCGGCGAGGCGTGTGAGGATGTCAGTGGTGATGGAGGGAATGTCATTCACACACTGGCAGTACTCCAGAAACATCCGGATCAGCAGCAGCTTAAATATGCTCTCATACAACAATCTACAACAGATTACAATATAAACGCCATAATTCTTCAACAGTGGATCATAAGCGATTTTTTGGCATAAATGCGCCCAAATGTAAGACCTCTTACAATGATAATTAAGACTTTTGTTATACCATTTAAGACCTTGAATTTGATCAAATTAAGATTTCTTTAAGGACCCACAGTAACCCTGTGATAGGCATTAGCCAAATCAAGTTTTGCTTTCAGATTTAGGGTTGTGCTTTAAATTAAAATACCATCACTGCATCTACGAGACGCATCACGTGTGTTTTCTTACCCAGGTTTCTGGTGGTGATGGTTTTCAGGCCGACCACCTGCAGAGCTCCCGCCCCCAGCACCAGCTGACAGCTGCGAGAATTGAAGTGCTGTTCTCATGGAAACAAAGCACAACCTGTCAGTCAAGTGATGTCACAGTGCAGTGTGCAGCTGAACAAACTGAACATCTCTCTAACACACACACACACACACACACACACATATACACATACACACATACACACATACACACCTTGAGCAGGTCGGCGAGGCGTGTGAGGATGTCAGTGGTGATGGAGGGAATGTCATTCACACACTGGCAGTACTCCAGAAACATCCGGATCAGCAGCAGCACCGTCCTGTCAGAGCACACAAAGGTTAAAGGTCACAATAGGGACAGGAGGAGAACTTACCGGTCAAATTAAGTTCCAGCACTGAAAACTCACCCGACCACAGCGTACTTCTGCCCGTCGACGCACAGAAACTCACTGGGCTTCCTGTCCTCAGACCCTGAGAAACGAAATACATTCATTACACTCCATTAAACGCCAATAATAAACTGCAATTATAAAAGATGCAGGTGTGTGATCAGCAAAGCACAAAAAGTACCTACTGTAC